TGTGTGTGGGAGGGGATTGCACTGAGACCAGTTAGGGGCTCTAACACAGAAGTGGTTCCAGCATCTAGAGGATCTTCCTGTGCAGTCCCTGTAGCAGGGGTGAAGTCCTGCCCAATAGCAAACTGCTGTTTAGGATCACATTCCTCTCTAAAACAAAAGGAAGAGATTCACACATCCATACTCCATGCACATCTGTGCAAACCATTGCCCCATTGTTTACAAGAACTTCTACATTTGGCAGTGCTGGGGTTTCCCTTTATACTCAATGCAGTCCTCTTGACTATTGTTGATAGGGACTGCTGTGCTTGCAACACTTTATCATTGGTGAAATCAGAAGCAAAGGTAGAAATACTAGTAACTCAAAAATAGAATTAGCAACTGTAAAACATAATGCTTGTGTGCTTTTTTGAAGTGATACACATTTTGGCAGGGTCTATAGCTAAAACATTGGCTCAACTTTGGTCTTTATTTTATTTCCAACCAACATTTGCTGGTGTCCACTCTATACTGTCCATATCTGTCTCTTGACATAGCCTTTAAGAATACAACCATATAAAAGACCTCTGTTTTTCCTGCAGTCTATCAGGGAGAACTGAAGTGACACTGGAAAAGTGACTCAAAGGATGTTAGGGCAATTGCAGAGCTTCCCTTAAGCAAACCAGTGATATCTGTCCTTGCAGGGTTACCTGGTGCTGACCATGTGAAATTAAGTAATACCATGGGCCCCTAAAGTGAACTGAAGCTAGTCTTGACCTACTTGGTATGTGGGATCGCTATAGGACCATATTAAGAAAGAGGGATAGCAGGAATGGATAGGACTTTAGTTCCAGAAGGGAAAGAGGGTATTAAGGTCAGAAACGGCAAGCATGCAGTAAAAATGTGTGAAATTCAGTACCTTCTGGATTCTGGAACAGAACCCAGGATTGGATTATCCCAAATTCCTCTTTATGGTTGATCATGCACAGCAGAGATAGTCTGGTGTAACTTTGTTATGTTCAAGGCCAGAGATCTGTGCAGTGAATCTAAGGGACCCAACCTGCTGCCAAATTCTTCACGAGCTGGTACACTCCTACACTGTGGAATTTATTTTTACTTTGTGTGCTTTAGCAAACAGTAATGGAGGACAATTAACCCTGTGATGGAGAGAGTTCGGGAGCTATCCCAGGATTTGTCCCAGCACTCTGTGCTATCCCTTGGAACGTGATGGGAGAGAGACTGGCTTTGTGGTTCAAAAATGAGCTTGGGGCTATCATGCTTTCCGTTCTGATCTGACGTCCTCTGCATATGTTACTTGATCCTGAACCTCTGAATGCGTTTTACCCCTGGCTTTCTCACCAGACATACCTGTGTCTTGGACAAGGACTGTGCATGGGTAAGGTGCAAGTACAGCCCCTCAGGAGGTAGTCCTGGAGACAGAAATCAACCAGCAGCATTCTTAGCTGTTATTGCAATTACTGGAGTGATGGCACTGCTCAGCCATACTCTTTCCAAGAGTTCTTTTTTCCTCCCAGTGTTTAATTGCATTAGGTGAAACTGTAGAGAGAGGTGTCTGAGAGTGATGTGAGATGGAAAAGGTCCCCTGCATGGCAGGTCACAGGAGCTGAACAGGACCAAAAGGAAGCTTGTGCAAAACAGCTTTTTGTTTTTTGTAAGGTCCATGTGATAAAAGTATGTGTCAGTGCCATATGCCAGTCCACTGATACTTATCACCTGCACAAGCAATGCGATGCTTCCAGGGACATCATGCCTGGGAAGCCTGCAGTGACTTATTTTCAGGCTTGACTGAGAGTAAAACCAAACAAAAGGATGATGCTGAATATTAGAGTCATATTGCAGGTGTCAGGACTGTATGAGTAGGTTTCTGGTGGTACCAGTATGTGGCTATAAGGAACTGGAAATAAGTACATGGTTGTTCAAGCCATGTTAGAAGTGGCATTGCATAGTGAAACAAGGCACTTGCATAAACTCAGATAACCCAGAGTTAAAACTGGGATAGCTTAATTTTTCTGTCATGTTCATGAGGTTTGATGTTTTCATTAGCAGGATTCAGAGCTTCCACAGAAAGTTGTATGAAACTGGGGGGTGTTTCAGTGGCATGTGTGGAGGGGTCCTGCCCCTGTGATCACAGAACAGGCATGGTTGTGCTAGCTTCACTAAGACAAGAATTTCATTTAGTGCATTTCTAGGCAATAGAATAACAATAAAATGAGAACATGTGCCTTTGGGCAGACTAATGTGTAAGATAAGTTTTCACTTTCATCCTAAGCTGATATCAGCAAAAAATTTTAAAATCAAATAGTAACATAAACTGTGAAAGCTTCTGCTTTCTCACATGTATAGCAGGGTGAGTGGAACTGTAAATTTATTTGATTAAACGTTAGAGAGCGGAAACACGGGGGATAGGAATAAATGGTGAAGATTGTACTGATGAATTTTGCATGCCACCCTGCTAGCCATAGGCATGCTGAACATGAGATTTGAGTCATATACCTGGTAGAGTCCATTCATATCTCCCAAGCTAACTTGTTCAGTTCATGTTGGGCCAGCTGAATCTCCCAGCTGGTATTTCTGCTCAAGGAGAGGAGTTAAATCAGAACCAGCATAGGCTCCATCAATGCTGCAGCGGTGAGACAGTATTTATCTCACACTGGCTTTGAGTCCATACGGCTGCCTTGCAGTTTGTGACCTGCCTGTGCAAGTAAGGTTGGTGAGGTACAAACGTAAGATCATTCTTGAATTCAGTGCCTCCTCAGAGCCATTGTAATCAGAATTTTCTGAAACTGAAAAGAAACATAAAATAGACTTCTTTCTCCAAAATTCTTAAATGACCCTTTTATTCTGGGTTGGAACAGAATTGGAATTTCACTCAGAGACTGAATGTGTATAAGAAGGACACATCATAGGTTTATTTCTGGTGGTACTGTTAATATGTCTGTCAATGTTTGAACATTATATGCATCCAGATGCTGAAACTCTGCCTGTCCACTGGATGTGGCTGCTTGTGAAGCTAGTACAGTCACTTTAGACCTGTTCCCTGCCATGTCAGAAGACACTTCCTGGATAGAGATTAGCTTCCACTGGATAAATACTTCAATTTCACACATTTTTCCTTGTTCTTTTGTATTTGTTCCTTTGAAGGCTATGCAAACAAACAAAAAAACTAGTACATAGCATGCCTGGTTTGCCTTTGGGAATGTGGAAAGGCAAAGTGGAGGTCTCTGGATGTGAGGCAGGAGGAGACTGTTGGGTGCATAGCTGCAGCCCTGAAGGGCTGCAACTGGCAGTCTTTGGCGTGTGGCGCGGAATCACAACTTTACAACCAGTAAGGTTATAAAGTAGGTATGTTTATTCAGCGCTGGACACATGGGGGGAATAATTTCCTCCAAATGTGTGCCCCATCTGGAGCCAAAAGGGGCTCCCTTTTATTGTCTAAAATATTACATATTCATCTACTCTAATACATATGCATCACTACTCCAAGGATAGGGAGGGAATATTACAATTAGTTCTGAGAAATGATTAACATATCCCCCCACCCCAAATTGCTCCCTTCGCGCTTGCGCAGTGCTCCCTGGTGGTTATGGGCAGGGGTCTTCAGATGAAGGCCCGTAGTCTTCTTCACTGTGTTCGCTAGCTGACCCTTACTTCTGCCCCAACTCAGCCCTGTGGTCAGGTGCACCTTGTCCTTCAGGTCTGGGCTAATTTGCAGCTCCTTTGTCTTTCTGGCTCAGTGGTTTCAGTTCCCTTCTTATCTCAAGGACAAGAGGTACCAGAGATGGCCCATCCTGTCTTCCTTCTATTCAGTCACAAGGGAGTTACGTTCTTTTGATATGGACCATCAATGGCCCATCTTGTTCTTTCTCATTCCATTGCAAGGGAGTTACCATCCTTTGATGAAGGCCATCTGGTGAGCATCCCAGGAGCTATTGGGCTAGTGTGAGCATCCCCTGAAAGGGAGGGGCTGTCGTGTTAGTGTTTCCTCAGATCAGGACCTGCATCTTATCTGTCTACCTTTGCCTTATTCAGCCTTCCTGGTTGAAGGGATGGGGCAGGGTTCATGCCTCCATTGGGATGAAGCCCTCTTTGTCAGTCTTACATCAAGCAGCTGCTGTAAATACCAAGCCACCAAGGAACCACCAGAGCTATTTGGAAGAGGGAAATTGTTCAGGTGATGCAGTATAGTGAGCCAATTACTTGCACTTCAGCTTCACCTCTTTTTCCTTGCACCCCAAACCTGCACTGATGCTCACAGCTGAGTTCGTGAAGAGGTGCACAGCTGAGGTGGCACCTGAACCCTGGCAACAGTTCTGTGTGCCTGGAAAGTAGGTGACAGCATGACGCTCATCTCCTGCTGTTCCCAATGATCTGGATCACTTCTAGTAATCTGGATCCTAATGATCCTGCATCTAGATCATATGGATGCATATTACATCTAGATCAGTAACGTATGCATTGTTAATTACATGAATTATTAGTATACTGATAAATTTACTTCAGTGTACTCCACCTATAGGCAACATGGCTCTGCAGTGTTTTTTCTTGAAAATGTCTGAAGCTAATGGTGTCCATGTAAATTAAATTTAGGTGGCACCTCCATGACCCACCAGTGCTTTGACCCACCAGTATATCCACGTGAAAGTAAATGAATGCCAGATGCATGCCTTTTTTTCTCAAACACTTGATTATTTTATCCTTTGCATTTTACTACTTAACAAGAGTAATTTTCTTGGACAGGTCCAGGTGCTCATGGGACATCAAATACAGAGGGGTTTAATTTCTCTCCCAAAGGTTGTTCAGTGTAGCAAGTGCTCCAAGGGAAGACTGAATCATGTTCTGGATGAAGCTAGGACAGATGAGGGGAGAAATGAACTGAAAGCCTTTGGGTGTACTGCAATCTTTAGAATGCCAAACCACATGGTTCCTTCCCAGATGTGTGTCTGGTTAGACTTTACATTATCTAGATATTGACTTAATAGGTTGGGGTTTTTTTCTTTTCTCAGCAGAAACCCAGAAAGGCAGCTCCTCAGACAGGAGAAGATACCTTGAACATCCATCTACCCGCCGGCTGGCAGAGCTATATGTCTCCCCAGGGCCGAAGGTACTATGTGAACACCTCCACGAATGGTAAGTGGGGGAGGGGGCTCCAGTAAATGTCACCCTAGCAGTACAGATCTATTACCAGAAATTGTCTCTCAAGTTGATGACAAAACAGAACCACAGTCAAAGGAATTAATATGACCTTGTCACCATATGAAAGAAAATTGTAAGAAGATTTAGTCTTCTAATCCTGTCATCTTAATTCTGACCATTAGAAGACATCTGAAGCTTTTACAAAAGACAGAGAATGTAAAGTAGAAACACCCGTGCCATAAAGGATATAATCTTCACCACATTCCTTATTTCCTTTCCCTTTAGCTAGAGATATTTATGTCTATATATGTACATACATGTAAAGGAGTTTGATAGAATGTCAGGTATCCCTAAAGCACCATTAGGGGCAAACAGAAATAGTTAATTGAAAAGTTGCTTAAGTCAGAGGCAACTTGCCCATGGAGACACATGTAAGGGGACATTAAAGACAGAATTTTCAGTCTATATTTGGGTGTTTTATTCAGTGTCGTGCTAGTAGAAAAGCAGACAACTAATGATCTTATCAGATGCTCAAGACCTGTCAAACTTGCACCACTTCTGGCTTACCTAAGACTCTGTGTCTACCTGCTCTTCTTATCATGAGCTCACAACAGCATTGCAAAAGAGGGACTTGTGACGAGCAAAACCAGATTTCTTTTCCAGAAAGAATGACAGAATGACAAGGGAGGAGAGGACATCAGGAGTTCACCTTGTTCACAATGGAGTTGAAGCCATCAGGAATGACCACTGGCATTCCTTTTTCTGACTCACTGTGAGTGCAAGGAGAGCCATGGTCTGTCACAATGCACCTCACAGCCCATTCAGGGACTGATGTGTTTTATTTCAGAAGCCTTTGGCTTAGAACTTGGCCAAGTCATTATTTACCTGAGTTTTATGCACTGACATCTCATGGGACCCTCCAGAAGGCACATTACCATTAAACACTGCCTTCATTTCCAAGCATAGTCTGCTCTGGCTCATGAGCAGTATTCTTTGCACAGCTGGGGAGATCAGTAGGAGTTAGATACCCAGTCCCTATTGCAATTCAGATGTGGGTGAGGAGGTGATTAAACTCAGCCCTGAGCCATAGCCATTGTAGTGATGGACACTTACTCACACAAACTGGGTTGAGATCAGATAAAACCAGTAAGAGGCAGAGCCTGTTTTTTATGTGATAAACGCTCTTGTCAGAGGAATCCTAACCTAAAGGGTAGATGGCCTGATCTCAGTTTCTCCATAATGTCAGGCAGCTTTTTCCTTTCCTTGCAAAAGTTACAGACTGTAACAAGGATGGATAGCCACGTCCTGCTTGGTAGGTCCAGGTCAGAAATCAGGAAAGTGATTTTATAGGAAGGGAGGATAGCCCTGGCACAGGCTGACCAATGAGGTAGTGGAATCTCCATCCTTGGGAGATCTCGGAGCCTGGCTACATAAAACTGCGGCTGACCTGATCTGTTGTTAGCAGTGATCCTGCTCAGCGTGAGTAGCTGTGCTGGAGACTCCCAGAGGTCACTTCCAACTTGTCCTTCTCAGGACAGTGCCCAAACCACCTATGGTTGTGCTTTCAGCTACTGCAATGGGATTGCTATGCAGCAAGAAATATGGTTCTCAGAATAACAGAGAATAAAAGAGAGGGTAGAAGTGGGATTTCTGTGTTCTGGTTCCTGCTTTAGGGAGAACTTATTCAAATTCTATTGAGATGACTACCAGAGTAGTCCTAAGCCTAACTAGTTTTGAAGTTAGGCTTGCTTTTGTTTCTTGTGCTGGACTCAAGAATCATGCATTTCTGAGCCTCCCACACCTTCCATGAAGGCTGTAGCCTTTTGTGAGACAACAGGATTCTCCTGTAGCATATACAGGGGCACTCCAGCCCTTCCACTCCTTCATCTTAGTTGGCGTTCCTGGCAAGCTCAGTTTTTCTCAGCCTGCTCAGTTAGAATATGATGCTGCCTAAAAGTTTTTTTGCTGTGTAGATACTGCTTTTTGCTAGTTTATTAGTTTGATGATATTGCTTGGGAGTATTTTTGCTCTATTTGGGCTATATTGCACATCCCAAATGCCTGTGCTTCCTGAAAGTGGTTTATAAACCAAAGAAGTGTCACCTATGATGTCATCTAGGCCTCAAACAAAGCAGAAGCTGAATGCAACCTCTAGGCCTTTCTGCTGAAGTGTGTGATGAAGCCTCATCCAGATCTGGCATGAGCACCTGTCTGGACACTGTTTTGATGTAATCTGACTAATTGACTCTGACCTTTGTCCCTGCAAAACCGGTAGTGCAGAGCTATCTGTGGGCAGATTGTTCAGTCTCATGTTGAATATGCACTTTCTTCCTTGACTGTGCTGCAGAGCTGGACCTGCTGAGCCATGCAGTCACCATAAAGTCACATTTGGCACGTACGGCTTGCTGTCTAACAGTGGGATTTCACACTGACACTCAGGAAGTATTCTTTAGCTTTGAGCCATATGATAAGTCAAAGACGATATGCTGTAAAACTGCAGTCACCATCTTTCCTATGGTACAGCTGCACTGACGTGGGGAATGTTTATCACAAGTCTCATAGACTGACTGCACCTGCTGAGTTGTAACTGCTTATTTGTCCTGTCATTGCTGCAGCTGCTGCTGAGAGTATCACGATATATACTGGCAGTGCTTGTCATGGGGACATGGTGCCAGCATACATCTCTGTCACAGGGTTTCATGGGCCTCCTTCCTGCTTTGCCTCCATAGCACCATTGTTTCAGCAGCAGGATCTAGGTCTCTTTTCCACCAAGGTCTTATTTGTGTAGATGTACTCCTAGGTTTCTCTCTCTGTATCATAGCTATCACCAGATGATGAAAGTACTCTGGAGCGTTTGAGAGAGATATCACTGTTTAGTGCACAAATACAGTAACTCAGAGGTCAGTGGGATCTAGCTGGTTGGCCTTCAGTCTGATCCATGTAGTAAAGGTCTTCTGTTCACCATTACCCACCACCACCATCACCACCAAAAAAAAAAAAAAAACCCAAACAAAAAGCAAAACTCTTGGTTTGTAAGGTCATAAACATTTCTCCGATCTCCCAGGGACCCGTCAGCTCTTAAGTGAGATGGATGATCAGAAAGTATTTCAAGACCTCCTCCACACTCTTCAGAAATTCTTTTTATTTTTTCTGCTATGGGGAATTCTGGGTGTTCAGCAGCTTTCACACAGTGACTCACAAAGTGGCTGGCTGACTGCATGTTGACTTGCTGTAAAACCACTGTAGAGGTGACAGCCACTGCTAGAGTGTACATCTGGTCGCAGCGGAAAGGGAAGGGACATTGCTAACCCATCGAGAAATACTTTAAATCCTGTGCACATTGCTTTCCCATGGTCTTTCCCCTCTGATTCCACAGCTGAGACAGTCTGAAATGATGATTTTTCTCATGCCCCACATATGCAACAGGAGACTGAGGAATCAGAGGATACTGCTTTGGGTGCTGATGGCAGTAGTGCCTCCCAGGAAGGGCATGAGCACTTCTCTTGCTATGACACTGCATGACACTGGATGTTGAGTCTGCCTATGAGAGAAAGATGTTAGAGATTACGGACCCCATTACTGTTGTGTCTGGTCAATGTCAGCAATGTTCTGCATGTATTAATCCCACACAGATGGGTGTAACAAGTATACTCATTAATGTACAGACTATTACAAAATACAAGATTCTGTGTATGATACATTTCATAGTTAAACATGCCAGTGGGTCACTAGAGAGAAGAAAAGGGAGCTTCTTGAGGCAACAGTCAGTCAAACCAGTCAGTCAAACAGAGAGGCACCCATCTGAGAAAGAAATATTTGCATTTCCATGTGAATGAAGCAGTCCTTATTTTAATGAAGACAAATGGCTAAACTACCTCCTCGACAAGGAATAAGTACTGTGAGATTCAGAGTGAATGATTAAATATGTTTGAACCTTGGAAGACAAGGGCTTGAAAAGGAGCCTTCCTGGAGCCAAGGAGCTTCCCAGAGCTGTCCAATGATATACAATGTGTATATTGTGATGCAGATTTTCTCATGGAGACCTCTCCTTAACAGATTCAATAAGGCCTAAGGTATGCCTTAGGAGAAGGAAGCTCTGGGTAGCACCCTACCAGGAGAGGATAGCACTTCAGAAAGATAAAGGAATGAGAAGGGAGTTTATGGTTATTTTTAGTCTAAGTGGTTCAATTGTGGTTTTCCTTTTTTTTCTTTTTTTTTTCACTTCTGACTGTCACAAGTATCTGTACCTGTTTTGCTGACACTAGATGCTGTGAATAAAGTATTTTATTAGAATTGTACATTTACATAGCTGCATTGGAAGGTGAGTTTAATGCAACTTGGATAACAGGAAGGCACTGTTCACTGAAGGCTATGGCACATGTTTTGGTTGGGGGACCTCAGCCAGTACACTGTCTACTCAGCCCTCTCAGGGCCTTCTGCTGCATTGAGTAGGTGGAGAGCTGGCACCAGAGGGTGGACCTTCTGACATGCAACAAAACAATTGGACTGTAGGGGTTTCCAGAGACCTTGTTACACTGGGCTACACTGAAAAATGAGTTTTTCTTCTTCATTTGGAGACTTCTATCAGAGAGGACTTTAGTTTTCAGTCCCAAAATAGAAGGAGGTTCTGACATTTTAGTCTGACATTCTAGCAGTTTAGGCATGTCCCTGTGTATGTCTCATGGCTCTTGTTATCAGGATCTACAAAGCTTCCTGTTCATCAAGAAGGAACATTAAATTGTCCTGGAAAGGCTCTGTGGTTGCTCTCTGTCATTGACCAAAGATAGGTTCCCTCTCAGGCTCCTCTGAAATTCTCTGTGGAGTTTCCTTCCATTTCCAGCTGCAGAATCTGGACATGGATCAAAATCACCGTGCCACATCAAAGGTGTCTTCTCCAGGTGCTGAAACACCAAATTGTCTAGAAGGACTGTACAACTTCAGCTTTGTTATAGTGCCTTGTACTTCATATAGCCTTTTTTTTCTTCCTTGAAATTT